GGTTTCAGCAACCAGCTCCCGCCTCTTTGCCCATTTTCGATTATCCGGGAGTGACGCGCTGCCAAGATGGCGACGGCCTACTCCGCCCACTTTGAGCTTCATAAACGCTCTTCAGAAACCTACGGGTGACGTCACGGACACTACGTCCATGTTTTTATATAGTCTATGATAGTTACACGCACCCTGTCACTGTACTGGCCTGTCAATCATCGTGTCACAATTAACATCCTCCACATTTCATTTCATTTAACTTCCAACCATACCGGAGAGAAAAGTAGCAGCACGTTGATCTGTCAGCCGTGGGTCTTTATGCAGAGAACTCTGCTCTTTTTTTTTTTTTTTGCATAATGATGCATTTAAAAGTTAATGGCCAAATGGATGTTAATAAAATTCACATTGTTGTAGATTAAATATAACACAGATAAGATTAAATAAATATTTTTATTTAATATTTTAAATAAATAAAAATGCAAAAATTGAACCCGATCGAATTTTTCTTTATGACGGACGAAAGTTTCGGAGGCACTGTGTAAACGTGATTGACACAAAGTGAGGTCATATTTATTTTTTAACGTGCAAAAATTTTGAACGAGAGTTTCGGATCAGTGTGCAAGGACCGTTACACTGCACACGTCTGCAGTGCGTTACGGCTCTGACACGGCCACCGGAGTTGATCGCGGCTAATCTAGTCAATGCTTGCATTTATACCAGCCATGCCGCGGCACGTCCCAGAAGCGTCTCTCCTTGCTGCTTCTCTAAAGATAGGCACCTAGTCTATTTTTGTCGGACGCTGTGTCAAAAGCTGCACAGTTCAAATACAAAAAATACGCTGTGCAAACTAAAACACAGCTACAATCTTTTATCCTTGTCGTTTATAACTGGACTATTAACTATTAACTTTGTCTGTAGGCTACAGCACAACAATAAACACAATTAAACCGGACACAACAACTATTTAGCCAACTAAATCATGATAGAACCCCAAAAAGAAAAAGAAAAACCAAGAAAACAATGTCCAACAGGCAAATCTCGTGGTCTCATGAATCCAGTTGCTTTGCTCCTGGTGTGAGTTGGCACTGCGTGGAGGACGGAACAAAACCTCATCAGAGCCATAATGCCCGCAGACGTGTGCAGTGTAAACAAGGGATAAGCCCCTCTCTCTCTCTCAGAATATCTGAGAATGTGATTTTAATCATTGCAGAATGTCTTTATTAAACTAAAAATATTTCAAAACCAATATTTCAAAACCATCCACTTTAAATGCAATGAAGAACGACAAGTTTGTTTGACTATTTTAATGAGGACATTTTGTAGGCTTCCATTATTCATTATTTTCATAGCCAGATAATGATGTCTAATAAACTTAACTATCACTCAAACCTGTGCACATTATACTAGATTTAAAGATCTAGCTCACTTATGAGCTTTTCATATTAGAGAACATTTGATCCTATCAAGTGTAACAAATAAAATTATAAATGTGATTTCCCTGAACCTTGCTTGCAGTTCATTCTGTAGCTGCACAATGAAGAGGCGGTTTAGTGTTGTGGAGTCCCTGGTTCATTTATATGAGTCCAGTGAAGAGCAAAGAGATGCAGACCTATGTACGACAAGTGATGGAGGGATGGAAGAGGAAAGAGACACGACCCAACGTACAACAAGTGATGGAGGAATGGAAGATGAAAGAGACGTGACCCTACATACAACAAGTAATAAATGGATGGAAGAGGAAAGGGATCTGGATGGAGAAGCTGAGCTGGAGTTCTTTAATGAAGCTTCTGAAACAGAGGACAATACAGAGTTCGGCCCAGACTACCACTCTACTGATGAAGAAGAGTCAGAGGAAGAGTCAGAGGTCACTGCTGACACAGAGGCGGCTTATCAGTCCAAAAACGGAAACATATTGTGGACTCCAGCACCTCCTCCTCAGAAACAACGAGAGAGATTACCAGCTCATCGTATCATCAAAATGACCCCTGGACCAACCAGGCTGGCATGTGCCAATGCTGAAGACATAAGATCAACATTTGAATTGTTTTTCCCAGATGATATTAAACAGATTTTGATTGAAATTACCAATTTAGAGGGGAAACGTGTATTTCGTGATACCTGGAAGGACCTGGACTGGACAGACTTACAGGCCTTTTTTGGTCTGTTGATTCTGGCAGGTGTGTATCGATCCCACCATGAGGCCATGAGTAACTTATGGCACGGTGTATCAGGGAGGGCAATTTTTCGTGCTACCATGTCACTGAAAAGTTTTACCAATTTGTCAAGGGTCTTCTGCTTTTACAAAAGGGATAAAGAGCCTAGCCGACAGAAAAGGGACAAGCTGGCACCAGTAAGGAGCATCTGGGATAAATGGGTCGAACGCCTGCCACTCTTGTACAATCCAGGCCCAAACGTCACTGTGGACGAGTGCCTGGTCCGTTTCAGAGGACACTGTCCCTTCAAACAATACACACCAAGTAAACCGGGCAAGTATGGCATTAAAATCTGGGCAGCATGCGATTCCAGCTCGAGCTATGCGTGGAACATGCAGATCTACACCGGCAAAGCTGCCGACGGCAAGTCAGAAAAGAACCAGGGAATGCGAGTGGTCCTGGACATGACAGACAGTTTAGAGGGACACACCGTCACGTGTGACAACTTTTTCACCTCGTATGGCCTCGGCGAGGAGCTGCTCCGAAGGAAAATGACCATGATTGGAACAGTCAGATCAAACAAACCTGAGCTCCCACCTGCACTCCTGTCAATGAAGGACAGGGCCCGATTATCATCCATGTTCGCCATCACTGATACGCACACTCTTGTGTCCTACTGTCCCAGAAAAAATAAAAATGTGCTGTTGATGAGCACTTTCCACAGAGATGCCAAAGTAAGCGACAAAGATCACAAGAAGCCAGAGATAATCCTACACTACAACCAGACCAAAGGCGGAGTTGACAACCTTGACAAGGTATTTTACTATTTGCTTTATTTAGACATTTTCTGCATGAAATGAAAATGAAGCATATCTATTTTTAAATGCTAATTATATATCTTTTTTTCTTTATTGACAATCTATTACAATCAGACGTCACAATATGTAAGAAAAGATCTGTCGCTACTTCTGTTTCTTTGCGACTTTAGGAACAAATGGCCCAAATAAAGTTAATTGAATTGTCAGCTGGTGAGCTAAAGCAATGCTAAGATCATGGGTTCGATTGCCAGGGAAAGCAGTAACTGATCAAATGTAAATGTATACTTTGAATGCAATGTTGCTTTGGATAAAAGCATCTGCCAAGTGCATATGTAAATGTTTTGCTTGTCATTTCACTTCCAGGTTGTTGCCACTTACACATGCCAAAGAAAGACAGCTCGTTGGCCCATGGTGATTTTCTTCAACATGTTGGATGTCTCCGCCTACAATTCATTCGTACTGTGGACGGAGATAAATCCCTCATGGAACAAAGCGAAAAACTTCAAAAGGAGGCTCTACCTTGAAGAACTAGGGGAAACTCTGGTGGCTCCCTACATGAAAAGACGGCATTACGTTCCCCGCTCGCCAGCCTCTCAGAATATGGTGATACAAGCACAAGCATGCTCTTCAGAAAAAGACGACGTCTTTCTGCTAGCCTCCAAATATAAGGTGATGAAAGCACGAGCATGCTTTACAGCCAAAAAACCTAGCTCCTCCCCAGTATCAACCCCCAGCAAGAGGAAAAGGTGTCAGGTCTGTGAATCAAAGAAGAACACAAAAACCAGTATGATGTGCAGTCAGTGTAACATGTACATTTGCAGGTCACACGCAATTATAACTTCTTATTGCTATGCATGCAAGAAGGTTTAAACAAGACTTAGTCATGGCTTATGCGCTGTTTGTTACTCAGTTTTTATAGTAGTTATTCTCTTGCTCTTCTCTTTACTAACTTGTTTGCCATTGCAAAATTTATCATGTTTATTGCCTTTTCTCTTGACATTATTATTAGTTTACTTCATTAGAGTTACTGAATGTTGACTGAAAAACATTACTGAAAAAGTGTTTGTTTAAAGGGGTCATATGATGCTATTTTAAAGATCATTATTTTGTGTATTTGGTGTAACAGAATATGTTGACATGCTTTAATGTTCAAAAAACACATTATTTTTCAAATACTGTACATTATTGTAGGTCCTATCTAT